GCGATGCACTTGTTCCTAGTAGCTTCTTGTTACTACTAGTAAGGCACTTGTTACTAGTAGCGATGCACTTGTTCCTAGTAGCTTCTTGTTACTTGCTTTCTCACTGGACCTCGGATGTGCCTGCCTTCCGGATTCTCGGAGTTTTTCGGAGAATTTGCCGCTTCCTTTTTGGGGATGCCGCTGCGATCTTCGTTTGTAGGTGCCATAAATAGCCTCCATCGAAATCAGCATGATTGCAGACGTTCTCAGGTGGCTGTACTCAACTGGGTCACACACCTCGAAAAAGCAAGTGCCCTCGACATCCCCGAACACTGCAAACAGAGCACCACAACTTGACACCTTTGGCCCTCAATCCGCAGGCGATTTCGATGGGAAACTTTCCAATCACTCGACTCATGGTTTCTATTTGATGGTTTTGGGGCGTCAATATAGCAAACCGGGATTTTGTATACCCAACTAACCTAGCCTTAATCCGTGGAAACGGTGAGGTGCGGGACATGTCCACTCCCCAGAAAATTGATTTCCTGCCAATCTTGGATAAGCTTTTGTGGGAAGTGCCAGTCATTCCCACTGATTGGCAACATTTTTGACATTGCACTACACTGCCTTGAGGAACTTGGGTGCCATTCCTCCGCTGATCCCGGAGGCGACCAACAAGGCCTGCAGCGTGCAGAAGATGTTGATGCAAGTGAAGTGGTTGTGAGTCGTGCGTGGAATCTGATGTTTTAATGTACAAACACTGTCACCCGGGCGCCTTGGGTTTTGATTTGCTCGGTTTGGTATGTTTTGCAATAAAGTCCAAGAAATTCTTGCAGGATTGGGTTCTTCACAGAAATCGCCTCCTATGTCCTACTTTTGCACACATTATCAGCGACAACTTCACCACCAATCTTCTCCTATTCAGCACAGCTGCTTAGCCGTTTCGCCGTTTTCGAGGCCTTTGAGAGCCCACCAGAGGCATGTTCTTTGCGCTTCAATGAGCAGGGCCAGGTGGTCGAATACACTGCAGGCACATGCACGGCAAATCGTTTCACTATCAGAGTCACCAGTCACGCAAAAACACACGAGAAACTTGTGACCAAGGCGTAGCTTTGTCAATAGTAGGTTGGAGGCCATTGCTCTTAGGGTGGAGGCCATCGAATTTTGCAGAGCTTTGCAGAGACTTCAGGAGAGCCAGTCGCCTTTGGTTCTTTCTTGGCCAGGCTATGTGATCGACCGGCGCCAGGGCAACACTGGCGGGCGTGGGGGTTTGCTGGGCCCACTCTACGCTATTGGCAAAGGCTTCCCGTTTCCAGAGGCGCAGCCTTATGACGCTTGGGATCGAAGACAAAGTACGTGAGGGACGGGCCGGGACTGAAAATGAAGAGCCGAACGCCAGCTGGGATGGCCCATTGGTGATCAAAAGCAAGAGGGCAAGCAGAACCAACGCATGGGAATCCGCCAAGGTGATTCTAGTAGTTTCTTGTTACTAGTAGTATTGCCAGGAGCTACTAGTACTTTCTTGCTCCTAGTAGCGATGCCCTTTGTTACTACCTATGTGAGTGCTTGGCCATGGAGTGAGAGGAATTAGAGGAATTGTTCTCCGTTTTCTCAAGTGGAGCCCCATGTTTCTCGGGTACGCAGTGAGTTCAAATGTTTTAGTTTGAAGGACCCTGGGCAGACGCATGGGCTGACACATCAACACATCGTTCTGGAGCTTGAACTGATTGGCACCTTCACCAATGGGAGGGAAAAGCTCCTGCATACGACCCCAAGCCCTCAGATGCTGTTGCCCAAAAAGACCTGCCACGCTCGGGGTTAGACGTGCCAGTGGGCCAGTGGGGTGAGGGCTGAGCTGTTGCGTTGAGGAATGGTCTTGGCAACGGAAGCTTTTCACCTGGCTGGGAGAACTTCTGGCCGGTGCTGGCCCCAAATGAATCAGCGCATGGCCACGGCCCATGATGGCCATGGATGCAATGAAAGAGGTTCTCGGAATAGACTGATGTTATGAAGTTGGAAAGGACTCTTTTGTCGGTTTGTTGAGCTTCTTGGTTGCAACGGAAAAGCGCTCCAAACCCCAAGTCCCCCATGGGCGCTGAAGAGCCCAGGAACGTCTTTTCCACAGGGTACCGCACACGGTACCTGATCCATTGGTTTCGCACTCGTTTTACAGCGATTCCATGGCGAGCTTGGTGGTTCATCCCAGTCTGACTTGGACCAGTGTCGTTTTCATTTCTCCCGGTGAACAGGCTGTGCTCATCCAACGTGGTTGCGACCCAAAGACTTGAAACTAATAGCTTCTTGTTACTACTAGTAAGGCACTTGTTACTACTAGCGTGGCACTTGTT